CTCTTGATTCATATTCCACTTTGAAAATATATCAGTGAAAGAAATGTCTATCTCCCAAAAAATCTTTATTGAAGATGGCGCTGACAACTTCTGCATTAGCATCTCATCATAAAGGTCTTTAATTGGATGAACTACAAAGATTAAACTCCTTTTTCTAAAATAAATAAACCAATGATTTCAACTCAGTGCAAAGTTAAGAATGAAAAAGGTATTTAAAATGCAAAAATCACACATTTATATGAGTGATACTGAATGATTGTGAATTATGATATTTGTTTGTTATTGTTTTGATTTATTCATGGTCAGCATAGCTATTAAAGCGGTACAGAAGATTCTTTAATAATTGAAGTAAGTGAAATGTCACCCTTTCTTTTTCATGCCCATGAAGCTTCTTGATTAAAAAATATATAGGTTTTAAATTACTTCCTTTTTCTCCATAAATATTTATTTCGCCTTTGTGAAACTCAGGCTGCATTTATTTCAAATTCTAAGTGGTCAGAATATTAGAGTAGAACTGGGAAGGCTTAGACCCTAATTCACTGATAGGCATGGAAGCTGCAAGGAAGATTTTAGCCAATCATTATGTCTTACTTACTTTGCAGAGTTACAGTTGTGAGATAAAACAAAAGGAAGAAGTACTATATATGTTTGTAAAGTGCAAAGTCCCAGATAGCCAATCCACCTGCAAAAAGAGTGCCAACAACTTCAGAAGGGAGAGATGCTGGTTGTCATATCGACAGAGACATACCTAGACATTCTCTTTTGGAGAGAGAAAGTTTGAATCCTTTTAAAACAAATGAAGAAGTCTTCTGGTAGAAATGAAAGAAGCAACAAAGGAAAAAACGGAGTACTGAGGTTGAGTAAAAGATTGGGGTTCTCCATCTCCAGAGCAGCCTTAGAATTAATTTATTGTAATCATTGAAAAATGGGAAATCCAGCAATAATTGAGACATAAAGAAAATCTGTTGCAGAAAACTAGTATCTCTGGAAAGAGATGAAAAAATTTACCTTAGATGTTATACTAGTTTAATTATTGCTTTATTATATTGTACTAGTGTTTGTCTTTTTCATACTATCTGTACAAGACAGGAAATTCATTAATAGCAATAGCACTTAGATTTATATACCGCTTCACAGTGCTTTACAGCCCTCTCTTAAGTGGTTTTACAGAGTCAGCATATTGCCCCGAACAATCTGAGTACTCATTTTACCAACCTCAAAAAGGATGGAAGGGTGAGTCAACCTTGAGTCGGTGAGACTCGAACTGCCAAACTATTGGCAACCAGCAGACAGCAGAAGTAGCCTGCAGTACTGCATTCTAACCACTGCGCCACCACAGCTTTTACGATTAAACTATAATATTTCTGTACAGTAGACACTTGCATTCTGAAATAATAAATTAGCTTCTGTTTCAATCTCTTTAAGAGGCTTTTTTCCATTTGTAGCCGACATTGCCATCTTGTGCTATTCCTGGAGCATCTCCTTTGCGTGTCCTGTTGTATCGTATTGTTGTTATTATGATTATGGCAAGTCTGCATTTCCTTCCTCTGCATTTATTCATTTGTTTCCAAAACACAGAGGTACTGTGTCTTAAAATCTAAAGTAAAAAAAGAATGGAATATACTTTTCTTTCTTTTTATAAAGTTTGATTTTGTTTATCTCCGATGGGATTGTTCTATCTCCCAAAAAGAAGACAATGTCTAGTGACCTACCTCTAAGTTACAAAGCCATAAGGTTTTATTACATAAATTATTTCATCCTTTTACATTTTTATCACCAGAAAAGGAATTTAAATTGCAAGCATCTTGACGAATAAACAGAGACTCTTGTGCTTTGGAAGTTGCAGCAGGAAATACCATGCTGCTAAATCAGAGCAGAAGTCATGAAGACACAGAGGGTATTGGAGAGAGGAGGTCTGAAGTCTCCAGCTTTACAAACTCTAAACTTGTTTGAGTTCCTAAAGGAAAGGCAGGATATAAACTAGCATCTATGTACCTTAAATATTTATTACCAGTTTTGGCATATAAATAGTTGTAATATGTGAATAGAAATAATAGCTTGAGCAAATTTCCCCAGACTTCCCTAACATCATACTTAATACAGTACAGTAATTATTCTGCAGATATTATTGTAATCTCATTTGAAAATAGTTTGAAAATTTGAATATAGAGTCAAAACTAGTCTTAAATTATATTATCATATTTTGCCATATGTACTGACTTTCAGTTCATTTAATTAAATTTTATAACTTTTTCATGCCATGTGACAAAGTTATGTGAAGACAAACTCTCGTAAAAACCTCACACATAACCTTGTCAACTTGTAATGTTTCAGTCTAACTCCCACAACCCCTTCCATTATTCATGTTGGTCTGGAACACCTGTAGCACCAGCTTGCTTATCGCTGAATTTTATTGTATTCCCCCAATGTCCTCATCAAATACAGCAAAGTACAATGACATCCTACTTATGAAATAATTATTGTGACCATTCCATATTTTGTAAGCCTATATTAAACTATAAATGAGAAAATACACTTATGCTGCAATCATGTCGTGTTTATTTTTAAAGATGGATCTGAATGTGGACACCATTTGATATCATCATATAAGACAAATATAGTTAAAATCAATAAAACTCTGGCACCAGGGAAAGACCAAAGATTAACCTGACAAAATTATGTAGAGCAGTTTTTCCTACCAATTTTGGCTCGATTTCCAACACGCCTTACAAGAACCAGATTGGCAAAAGTTGCCCTTCAGGGCAATTATTAAAGGCAGTATCATTTACACAGAGTTTCTGTTCATTTAAGATCTTTGGCTATAAAGCATTTTTCAAGATCAGGTTGTTAAATAGAATCTTTGCCAGTTCAGAGTCTCACAGGAGCCCAATAAATTTTAGAATTCAAATGTCAGTGTTAGGGAGCAACCATTAAGAAAATAAATGCATCATTCAACTGACATATGTTCACCTGGAAGCATGCATTCATTTCATTATGTAATAAAAATGGCAGATATGCAGAATATTATTCCAAAATTACAAATTTAAATAATTCAAAAAAAAAACCCTTTTTAGAAGACAATGCTATTATCTCTGCTAAAAAAATTTGCTGCAGATGTACTCACTGTTTCTGACCCTGCTGCTTATTAGGTAGTTATTTGTAAAATGGGACGACCTGCTACGTAAGAAAGAAGAACTTAAATCAAGGCCAGTCACTGACTTGATTGTCACTATTCATCCCATTAATAATCTTTTTTCAGAATTTCCAGTATTATAGCAGTCACCTCCTTATTCCTATGTAGAAACCCTTAGAAACCCTCATCCATCCATGATTTACATGCTTTAAACCCAGCACAGTTTCCTATTGACCAGCTGACTTGCAAATACTTCTTCCATTCCATGGTTCTGAAAAAGCTTGATGGTGCAGATAGAGGAATACCAGGGCAGCAGCAATTCTCCAATACTACCATGTGTTGATTAACATCAAGAATCTTTCATTAGTTGACACCTCTCAATGAAAGTGGATTGGTCTACAAGACGTTAGGATAGCAGGTGATACATACTGAAACTGAATTAATGTTTGCGAATGGGACCAGTCTGATGTTCTCTTATCCTTCTTTGATTCCCACACCTCATTTGTATGACTTCTGATTCCATGCTCATGTTTTGTATTTTCATATGTAATAAATCAAGGTATGAAACAGGATAATGATTCCTCCTTTATTTATTTATTTTTATAATGAAGATAAAAGAGAAAGTTTGGGGTAATGGTTAAGGTACCAAGTTAAAAACCAGGAAACTCTTTGTGCCCACCTACCTTGGGCACAAAGTTGGGTGACCTTGGACCAAGCACTTTCTCATCCCAAGAAAGGCAAACAACTTCTGAAATTTCACCAAGATAATGGCAGGGACTAGTCCAGGCAATCTCCAGGAGTCAATACTGACTTGAAGGCACATACAAACATAAAAATTGGAGTGCATGTTTATGATCCATTGGTTACTCTATAAATAAATGTACTGTATACCTATGCCTAATATTCAGTTTATGGCAATGAAACAAAATTATGTTCTCACAGACCAAAAATACCATGCTATAATTCTGTAACTTCACCCTGATTTGACTCTTGCACATACTGATTTGTTCCTGATTATTCAATGTGCTGGGTCAAAAGCACAGAAAAGTATTTACAAATGTCAGTAATATTTTAGTTAACTTGCTATTAGTGTATTAAACATAGCTTAGAAATTATTATTAAACATAATAGAATTACTATTATAATTTCCAAATAAGGGTCAATTTTTTCCAGCCTCCCTTTACACTGTAGATCTTTCTTTCAACTTTCCAAATTACATTTTATCCTCCTGAAAATTAACCATCAGTAACTGATGTTACACAGTGGCTCAGTAGCTTAAGATGCTGAGCTTGTTGATCAAAAAGTTGGCAGTTCAGCAGTTCGAATCCCTAGTACCGCTTAACGGGGTGAGCTCCCATTACTTGTCCCAGCTTCTGCCAACCTAGCAGTTCGTAAGCATGTAAAAAATGCAAGTAGAAAAATAGGGACCACCTTTGGTGGGAAGGTAACAGCGTTACATGCGCCTTTGGCGTTTAGTCATGCCGGTCACATGACCATGGAGATGTCTTCGGAAAGCACTGGCTCTTCGGCTTTGAAATGGAGATAAGCACCACCCCCTAGAGTCGGGAACGAGTAGCACATACGTGCAAGGGGAACCTTTACCTTTACCTTTTAATTGAAAACTTCTCTGGCTTTTAGATGTGCTACATTTGAAACATTGAGCTATTATGTTCTTTTTTTATTAGCATGAGTGAGAACATTCAGGACATGTTCACAGACAGTATTAATATGTTTAAGACAAATACTGGCAGTGACTAAATGCAATTCTGGCAGAGTTAAGTGCTCTGTATAGAAATTATACTGTCTGCTGAAAGAATTGCTTTCATATTTGTCTCACACAATGCTTTGACTCTTTGTTGTTTTGCAGGTGATCCATATAACAGGAAGGTTACGACTAAGAGTGTCGCTGTCTCATGGGCGGACCGTCCCGAGCCAAATCATGGGGCTTGTTGTCGTTGCTCATGCACTGCCCCCTCCTACAATCAATGAAGTCAGAATTGACTGCCACATGTTTGTTATTCGAGTAAACATGGACCTCAATATTATTTACTGTGAAAATAGGTATTGCATTTGGGCTATTTTATTTTGTTCTTCCAGAATGCTCTACTGAAATATGGGCTAGAGCATTTGTTTCATACAACAATAATGATAATGCAGATGTATGTGTTCCTCTGATCAGTACGCAGAAAGTGAGAGCTTCATTCTGAGATTTGGAAAACTGAACTGGAATCTGATTGACTGATAGTTGCCTAGGGAGTTAACTAGAAAGAAAAATCACAATTTAAGTGTCAGTTTTCTGACTGCAAAACTCCTCTGATACTCTTTGGATTAGCATTTCCCACAATGGAATGCTAATACTCTGGAGAGTAGAGATGAGAGTGAATAAGGAAAATAAAGAATCTATTTCTCCCACCCTACAGTGTATGCAGCCTCTATTAAGACAAACATATACTGTATATAATTTCAGAATACCTCCTGAAGCACTAAATGTTGTCCTGAGAATCTTTTCCTTGGAGCCCACCAAATGTTTCCGGTATCTTAAATTTCCTCTGATTCAGCAATACCCCATCCTCTCTTTCTCACTGCCACTCCTAGGAAGCGGCAGTGAGAAATATTAGTACTGATTGTAAATTGGATTTACAACTGATTGGAAAAGCCACACTATTTTTCTTGTTCACAGCTCAGTTTAATTTTAAAAAATGGGAACAGGCAGGACAGAATGAGAATATAGATATACTTCAGATGTTTTAAATTGTATTTAATCAGTTGCAAAATATTACTAAGTTTTTTTTTCATACAAAAAAAAATACAGCTTCCTTTTATTTTTCTTATTAAAACTGAAAATGCTGGCAATAACAGTTTAGCCCAATGAATTCTACATCTGTTGCTTTACTGAACCTTTCAAGAAACAGCCTTATGTCAGTGGATATGTATGTTTGATCATATTGACAAAAGCAGAAGTTTTGCCCTTGAAAAGATGATCTGGTATATCAAAGTAATAGGAATGTCTTTAGTAAAAGCAAAAATTGTTTACGAATGAAGGCAAATATGCATGTCACAGGATAATGTTGCAGGATCCAATCTGGGCCAGTCACCAGGACCAGAGTTTTTGTCTTCCAAGCTTTCAGATTCCTGCTGGAACCCATCTTCTGGGAACTTTTCTCTAGCAGAGTATGTGCTGTTCTGTATGTGGTATTTATAGTGCCTGTTGTAAGTGGCTTATTAGATGTTGATTGGGTGTGTTGATGTCTGGCTTTTAAGTCATTAGCTGTTGTTAGCTTGTGCTGCCCAGCCTTCGCCTTCTAAGTACTTGATAGGCTGGTGGTAAATCAGCACTCCTGTTAACTAATGAGGGGCCTGTTTCCCAGACTTCAATCACTTCCCTGGCTGTTTTTGTGCCTGCTTCTCCAACAATGTTGGTAGCTGCAAAATTGAATGTGTGTCCTTATTCACTGCAGTGTGAGGCTACCAATAAGTTTGGGTCTCCTCGTTTGACCACTCGTGTGTGTTCTTGCAGTGTGGTTAGCTTCCTCCCCATCTGTCCTACATAGTCACAGGGGCAATCCATGCAAGGGGATTCGGTAGATTACATTGGAAGTATCTCCCACCTCCAAGCGATCCTCACAATGCATAATTTGTCCTCGTATGGTATCCTCTAGGCCCGTGATGGTGAATTTATGGCACGCATGCTATAAGTGGCATGCAGAGCCATCTTTCCGGGCATGCCAGCTGTTGCCCATTGCTCTTCCAGGTTCTGGCGTGGATACGTGCAGCAGCCAGCTGATCTTCACACATCCATGTGCACCAAAAGACCAGGTGACCGGCATGCATGTTTGGGAACTACTCTTCTGGTTTCCGGTGCTCCCGCGCGTGCACGCCAGGGAGCTGCTCTTCCGGTTTCTGGTGCTCACATACGCACACGCTCCCATTTCTGCACTCGGTGCTGAAAAGGTTTGCCAATACTGCTCTAGGCAGTGTGCGATGCCCACATGCAGATTTCGGAAGCTGCATTCTACAGCTTCTGAAATGTTTTTAATGTATGGCAGGGTGTGCCATGTGGTTGGTCTTGTAGCTTGTTTATTCCTTTCTCTCCCCACTGTGTTGCTCAGATATCTTGTGACAAATGATTGTGGGTAGCCATTCTGCTTGAATTGTTCATGTCGGTACCTGCTCTCCAGCTGCTTGGCTTGCTGGGTACCACAGTGGGTTCTCACCCTGCCATATAGTGTTCTGATGCAATTCTTTTTGTGTGAAGTGCACGGTTGCTGTTGAAATTCAGAAAGCATGGAGTGTTGGTAGCCTTGCAATAAACTCTGGATTTTAGGCTCCCTTCCTCTTTATGTTGAAAAGTACATCTAAAAATGATAATTTAGATGTACTTGTCAACAGACAAGAGGATGGAAGCCTAGAAACCACAGTTTATCACAAGGCCACCAATGTAAGGATCTCCAACATAAAATGCATTAAACCTTTAGAACATCTGAGTTTTTTAGAAATCTCCAAATTAATAATTTTCCATTTCTTAGTAAAAATGCAAATCAGCTTTTAGGAAGGCAAGTTCCCTCTCTAAAGAGAATCTGAAGACAGTGAAATGAACTGTTACCTTATTCTCATGATCACCTGAGTACAGTGAATACTTATTGGGGGAAAGAAGAGAAAGTTGTATCTTTAGTTCCAATCCCTGATCTACATGTATTTTGGTCATGTAAACAATTCTGTGCATTCAAAATAGATATGCATTTAGCACCTTTACAAATGGGCACAAGATCCATTCACTTGAGGAACAATAATCCTGCTCCCCTCTTTCTAATTCCCTATTTATGAATATGTTATCTAAATACAAGTATAGTCTTTCAGCATGCAACCTGTAAAAGTGTCATCTTGCCTTAAAAAGATTCAATGCAACCATTTATGAATGGCTTTTCTACATGCTTGCAACAGATCAGATAAGTGGCTGTACTGAAAACAGATGAGCAGTGAATCAGCAGAACTCAGTGTAATGAATGAAATCACATGCTCAGGAGCTCTATTTCTAATGAATTGTCAGTGTTATCATATCAATCTTCAGCTGGTTCAGTTAAATGCAGAGTCACAATATCTTAACACAGTATAATCTAAATTAATATATTAATCAAATGCAAGAATATCCCGAATTCACATACTAGGAAGATGACCATCAGCTTTACAGGCATGATGGAAAGTATCATATAAATCATATAAATATATCATATAAATATATAATACAATATCACAGTATTTCAGCACAGCCCTTCTCAACTAGAAAACTGTTATTTAGTCAACAAGAAGAGAAGAAAATGTGTGCAATACCGGTTCTTCTTTTAGATCAAGGACTCCTTTGAGGCATCCATCTTAGAAAAATGCACCTACACACATACAAGATTGATTTCGTTATACTACACTTGAAAACACACAACTTCCTCACCCATTTAACATCAAGTATTATTACCAAACCATATTATAATAGCTAGTCTGGATGAATGCAATTATAATCAATAGTTGGAAAAATTAAATTGGCATCTTAAAATTTTAGTCTGTTTTGGTGAAAACAAAGACAGATGTTCCTAGTCATAATGATAGTACACATTTTCCTTAATTCCTATCAACCTTGGTTCCTACCATCAGTTCTTCTAGATGGCCTAACACCGCAATGATGTCCATTATTTTGCCTGCCAATGAACAGTCTTTTGCCTACACTTGTTTGGGGAGAAGCAGTTTCTAAAAGCATTATTTGACATTTTTTTCCCCACAGAAAGAATTTTCAAATAATAGAAAGGAAACTGAAGAAAAAAAACCATCTTTTTGTACTTGATTTGTCAGACCCCTGAAATCTATCCTTGGAACCCCTATTTAGGAACCACAGGTTAAAAAACTTTGTATATACAAAGACTCCACCCTATACACAGTAACCTTGCTGAGCACATTGTAAGCCGCCCTGAGTCTCAAGAGAAGGGCGGCATATAAATCAAATTAAAAAAAAACAAACAAACCTTGAGCATTGCAGAGAATAGAAGAGAGATACAGTAGGTCCTGCCTCTTTTCCATGATACAGGGAATAAAATGGAGGTATAGCCTACCTGGATATTATGCAGATTGTTCCCAACTTCTGATCCTTTACATCTGTCTCTCCCCATTAGCAACACCTCCATTTTATCTTTAGTTCCGAAATGGAAAAAAACCATTTATCTATTCTGGAGGAAGAAACTAGCAGTAGATATATAGAAAATCATATTTTCTGATTTTTGTTGAGGAGTGAGAACCTGACAGGTGGCTCCCTAATTTGCTATATTTTTTAAAAAAATCATATTAAGTTCTTATTATCTCTCAGAGTGACTATGGAGAGTAGCTCCATGCCATCACTCTGAATGTGTGTACCAGAGGTGGTATTCAGCAGGTTCTGACCAGTTCTGGAGAACCGGTAGCAGAAATTTTGAGTAATTCGGAGAACCAGTAAATATCACCTCTGACTGGCCCCACCCCCATCTATTCTCTGCCTCCTGAGTCCCAGCTGATTGGGAGGAATTGGGGATTTTGCAGTAACCTTCCCCTGGAGTGGGGTGGGAATGGAGATTTTGCAGTATCCTTCCCCTGTCACGCCCACCAAGCCACACCCACCAAGCCACGCCACACCACACCCACCAAGCCACGCCCACAGAACTGGTAGTAAAAAATTTTGAATCCCACCACTAATGTGAACCCTACATGTGCTCCGATAACTAATTCATCCCCAGTATTTCCCATCTGCCATTCAAGAACAAACTTGCAAAGAATTTTCTCAGAACCTGAGTGACAAAAGGTCCTCAGATAGTCCCAATACATTTTGTGAGTGTTAGAACATCATTTTAAAAACATAACGAAGAGTTACATCTTCCAAACAAAAGGAAGAACCCAGCTGACCAGACTAATTCGTTCTCCCAATTTTCAATTTGAGAGGATTTTTTTTTAACACAGATGCCTGAGGACATTGACATCTGGACAATCAATAAGAGGAACGCACATACAGAGAGAAGCAGAGCAGAGCACAGAGCAGGAAAGGCTACTGAAAGGATTTTAAAGTTTCTGCACAGAGTAAACCACAAAGTCCCAGTTAAAAGAGCTAGGAGTGAAAGCAGAGCTCCCAGATGAATAAGACTAAAAAAGATAACACCCTCAGGCATCTGTATGTCTCAGCATTTAAATTATATTGCTTGAAATGTCAGTTTGGACTCTGTGCCAGGAAACAGTTGAAGAGCCTTTTTTCATGAATATGCTCAATAGAAGACCAATCTGTTGAAATGAAAGATGTCTCTAATCATTTTGCATAAGCATAACATGTTCATATTTTATAGTATAACCTTGAATTATCTTGCTCTTTTAATGAGGAGCTTTGTATTTTAAGGAATTCTTATTTTTGTGGATATTGTTAAATATGGACCTATAGACAATTTGAGACTGCATTTGTTAAAACAAATGGATTAACTTCAGCAGGGGAGGGAGGGAGGGAGGGAGGGAGGGAGGGAGGGAAGGAAGGAAGGAAGGAAGGAAGGAAGGAAGGAAGGAAGGAAATCTTAGTTTGATTTGGGTTTTATTACAGATATGTTTATTTGAGAACAAAGAGAGCCAAACTGGTCTAAGATTTAAGGTCTAGAGTAGGATTAGTGGCTAATTTTGGGTCAGTCATTCTCTCTCATTCCTAGGAAGTAAACTCAATCATATAAAAATGCTTCTAAAACAACTGCATTGTTCTAAAACAACTACAACTTTTCCATATAATCACCAGGAGTTAAGACCTACTCACATACATGCATACACAGACACATAAAAGAAAACAAATATTAAGAATGTTACAGATGAGCTATGGGTCTTTGTTTTTAGAATTAAATTTAGGGTTTTATTCCTGGTAGATAAAACTAAATTATGAGTTGGGGTTAATTCTACCTTCTGAGATAACACAACAAAAATAATATAAAATTGTCATAAAAAGGATAGTTTTCAGGACAGATGTACAAGTTTGGGATCAGAATGGAAAGCATTTCATTGTTGTTGTATTTTCTTCCTTTCTCGGTTTATAGGCTTTATTTTTCCTTTACAGGATTAGCGATTACATGGATCTGACCCCTGTAGATATTGTAGGGAAAAGATGTTACCACTTCATTCATGCTGAAGATGTGGAAGGGATCAGGCACAGTCATTTAGACCGTAAGTACTCTGTTCTTGTAAAAAATAACACCTTACTGTTATAACGTGCAACTGAACTAATTCTTGTATTCCAATCTGTGGACCTCTCTCTTTGACTTTATTTGCGGATGGTTTAGTTATAAAGTACATATTTTCCTCTGTCACTAAAGGCAATTGGTAAACGTTCAAATGTGAGCCATGATAAATTCAAACCAAACTGTGATCACACAATGTGGAGATATTGTTTTTGTCCATGAGAAGTTTTGAAATAAAAATTGAAGTCAGTTCATGTGACAAAGCATTAACAGAAGTATAGCAATTAATTGCGTTAACATGTTAAAAGTTACCTTAATATGGGATAGACCGCAAAAACCCATTGTGGCTAAAGCAGGTCAACAGAATAAAACAATATTTAATATTGTCTTACCTAAGGATGGAGCGGGTGCAGCAAAACTGTCCTCAGTTTTGTGGTCAAAGCAGGCAAATGTATATGATGCAGGCCCTGCCTCTTATATACTTGCATATAGCATTGTGATGCAGAAACCAAAGGGGCAGGGTTTACATTGTGATGTCACAGTGCATGGCTGACCTTGTTGCCAATCATAAGTGGTCCAGCTGTCATTAGGCAGCAAACACTTTTGCCTTCAACTATTCATTAGGCAAGCTGGCCACTGAGGAAAGAAAGAGCTACTGCTATTGTTAAGCATGGGAAACATAGCATGGGAAACAGGGGTGGGTGCTGAATTTATTTATTGCCAGCCTTTTGAAGCTCAAGGGAGATCAACATATCTAACATGGACCGTTCAAAGCATTCTGCCTCTGCCCAGGGGTAGTATTCACTTACCTTCACTACCGGTTCGCAAATGGGAGTGCGCACATGCACTATGCTCATGTGTGCCACCTCCACACATGCACAGAGCTTTCTGCGCATGTGCAGAGGGTCAAAAACAGGATGTGATGATGTCCGGGAGGGTGGGCGGAGCCTCCCACCACCGGCGCTACCGGTTTGCACGACCAGATAGAGCCGGCAGAATTCCACCACTGCCTCTGCTCTGAAGTATACCTCAGTTGTATTACCTGCTTCTCTTCTGGTATGCTTCCTATGGCTTTGGTGCTAGTTGATTAGTGCACACAAAAGGTATACTCTGTTCTAGCTATCATAACTCTAACTCAAACATGTTTATTGAAAGAAGCTCATCAAGACAGGGAAAAAAACAAATTATTTCTTTTTTTTTTTTTTTTTTGCCTTTTAAAACACATTTATTAACAGATGCAGAAAAAATAAAAATAAAACCATATTCCTCACCACCCGCAAATCCAACTGCCGTTGACACAGAGAGTAAATCCATCTCTTGGCTGCTTGCCCCCCCCCCACTCCAGGTGCCTCCATAGAATTTATAAGGAAGGTCACCTGCTCAAGGCTCATGGGATAGTACAGTTAGTGGGGTTCAGAGAGACAGTGACATCCGCCTTGCACTGAATGATGCTGGCAGTAGCTGGCAGTAGCTGGCAGCTTTGCAGTTCTGGAGCCAGTTCCTTCACACATACTGTCAGATTGCGCAGCCTGCCAAAATTCTGCCGCGACTCGGCCATGGAGAGAGAGGATGCGGCGGGGCCATCCTCGGCACTACTGTTTGCCCAAATTATTCCTTTATGGATTAAAAAGTCTTCCACTAAACCCAGGTCTTTCTACCTGAAATCTTGAAAGTTTGTTAGATAAGATAACTCTGCCATGTAGGCCAATTTCCTAACAAATATTAGGATCTGTTAGAATCAAGAAATACTTTAAGAAATATGAAAGCATGATTCCATTAGGAAAGGCAACTTTGCCTCAGTCAATCAATGTAATAAATATCTTCCTTAAAAAAAAAACAATTCAGTAATTTCCTATTTTAAAAAAACAACCCTTAGTCACAAACTTTGTTGAATTTGTTTGAGTATAATTTAATCAGGCACTCTGAAACTTGTTGCTGAAAAGTTTATCCAATTCTGACAAAGTAAAAAGAAATCATTGCTGACTCTGGGAAATAGAAAGACTTCAATACAGCTTCTGAATTCAGCAAAACAAAAGATTTTCAGAATTGCCAAATCAGAATCTGAATCAATCATGTGTGTATATACTTAAAGGATTTTAATGGAATTAAGATTTATTATTAGAATTGATAAATTAGGCTTCTGACCAGCCTAATTAACAGCAAATTACCTTAGTTAATACCTGCAATACTTCCTAATCAATTTTTCATCAGAAACCACATTTAATTAATAAATAAATAACCATTGGTTTTTAGCTTTAGAATAATTTCTCATAATTTTAATACTTTGAGACCTATCCTGTTTCTCTTACTTAACCATGTTCAAGTTAAACTTTTTCTTGCTGTTTTATTTAATGGTCTGTTTTTGTACATTCCACACTGAATTATGATGTTATAACTATGACTACATCATAGTTCTCTATGATTGTATTACAATGCTCCGTTTACATTAAATCTCTTTCATGATGCTTTCTATCAGAGTACTGAGGTGCCATTTTTCATAAATTTTCTGTATTTTTAAAAGCCCATTCTCCAGTTGTTGCAGCCAATAATCTTGCCTCCATTTCTCTCTAACCTTCCTTATATTTATGCTCATATTTCTATTTCTATCTTTTATTTACTTATTTCCTTTATTTATCTAAACAACCCCAATCTTGAGATATTTGATGGCAAGACAGCAAAACAAGAAAATAATAAGAACAATAAAATACAATAACACACATATTTTACATATACATAGTAAGATGAATGCTCAGTCACATTTGATCAAAGTTTTTTTTTTAATCAACACATTTTTTAATCAACACATTTTTTAAAAAATACATTAATGCAGGGGTGTCAAACTCACATCATCACGGCAGTGTCACGTGATGTATCAGGATTTTTTTCCCCTTTGCTAAACTGGGCATGTGACGCATCCAGCCCGCGGGCCGGGAGTTTGAAAGCCCTGCATTAATGTATAGAGTCCTTCAATGATATGCATTGATGACAACAAAAAACAAAGAGCAAAAAAGTTATTACAAAACTAGAAGAAATCCAGATCTAAGACGTCTTTTGTCTTCTATAAAATTTTCTAATTTAAGCACTAGCAGAAGAAGAATCAAACTCCTTGGCAGAGCATTCAGAAGATGGATCCACATCACTTTGCGGTATCCTTACATGAAATGCTATCTGTTTTCCTTGCTTTCCTTTCATTTATTAAAATAAAAAACCATAGGACTTTAATTTTATGGATGTCCTCCCTTGAAATAAGAGAGTAGACGTCAACTTCAGGGGCAGAAATCTAACATCATTTTTCCCAGCGGTCTGTCTACTTGCCTCTGCAGCTAGAAAGAAGGGTAGGTGAGAAGGAAATTGGGTATCAGGGACAACAATCCCAGAAGACTCTGTGGATTTGGAGGATCCTCTGTAACTTCCCCCTCCCCCATTTAGCTCAAAGGAAATGTAAATCAATCTTTAACATCATCTAAATTAATTAATTCCTTTTGCAAGCAATGGAAGGACTCATCTGCTTGCTCCTTATTATTTTTTCAGGCTGACATTGACTGTGCTTCAAAATAAGGCTATGTATTTACATTAAAAAAGTATCAGCAGTTGTATTATCTAGAAATTCTGGGATTTGTAATGCAGTACATCATAAGGATAACAGTTTGAGAAAGAAAGATACCCATTAGTTCAGAAAGCCTATAAAATAGTTAGCTGGATAGTACCTGTCTGTCTATCTGTCTATCTAATCTTTTAGTAGCGTCTCCTACTAGAGGTCAATAATCAACATTATTTGTTCTTTTCCTGTTATTGTCTGAAAAAAAGACATTCTATTTTTGCCGAACTGCATATTTAGATTTTTCAGCCAGTATATGCATTATCTTCCAACTCTGCATTGCTCTGCATTTGTTTTAAATCTTATAATTAATTGAAGCAATTTGTATTTCTCATTGCTTGTCATATGTTCCCAATATTCATTTTTTGGGTGGTATTTACAGTTTTGCTATCTTTGTCTATTGGATGGTAAATTGTCTCATTTCCTATATATTTAGCACATAATGTGTTAAGTAATTTTCTCTAAATCTGTGTTTTAAATGCTTATATTCTGCTGATGATCATATACTTTCATTATTCATCTTCTATTCTGTGTAATTTAACTGGCAAAGCCCTAACAACATACAATCTGCCAGTGAAGCTCCATCTTAAATCCTGAGCATACATAAATGTGCTTATTTTTTCAAAGAAGTGATAGCATAGCTTTAACTATTGCAGTATTAATTATTGCTTGATGTATGATTTTCTAGATAGTGCATACTGTATGCCTATATACATAGCTACTTATGATGGAACTTAAATGTTTTGCTAAGCATTTGAGACATTTCACTAATATAATGTGTATGTTCTTAGCATCACATTTACCTGTGCAAAGAGTAGAACTGATTTGCATTCAATTCTTCCTCGTATAAAAGAAGTTGTGTGTTTCACTGGTTGTTTCGTTTCGATAAGAGTTCCCACTGGAGAATCATAAATAAATTGGGATTTACTCTGAGAAACTACTCTGAAGTAAGCTGTTTGAAGACTGGGGCCTTATCATCCACTCCATGTAAAGAATTCACTTAAACTTCTTTTTTATTCTGCACACCAATATCAGTAAAAGATTAAAAAAAAGTAATAAACATATTTCTTTCCACTAATATATAAAAACTCTATTCTAACCCTATTTTGGTATTGGGTGACATTGTTGCCTTGTTTTTATTTAGCAAGTCCATTTACTACTCAAAAAATAAAAGGTTGTCACATAATATAGAAGCATATATCTCCTCAATTAATTGGAAAAAAAATAGTAACATTCACTGAAGAATAATATCAAACATTTTCTGACTGGAAATCCAAGCAGGACATAGAGGAGTTAAGACCTCTAGAGAATGTCATGAATATACTTCTGGACAAATATAGGATGATATACCAGGATTTTCAAAATGGATATATATTGCTTTTGGGAACTGTCACTCGATTGTGTAGCTACAGATATAGTATGTGCTTTTTCATTTTGGAATCTTAATTGAGGTCTAAATTCATAAACCTGACACTGACAAAAAGATGCTTGTCACCCTCAGCTATTGCTCAGAAAACGTCATCCCATTTCTTCTGGACTTGATTTACAGCTATAAGAAATACAATTCCTTAAGAACAGCAGCCCGAGCAGTTTGTTTTCCATAAAGCAAAGGTCTCTGATGACTACATTTGGGAGCATTCTCTCTTATATGCTCTAATTTAGTTTCCAATAGCTGAAACAATCCAGATATTTTTTTAAAAGCAGCTTTACTATCACTTTATTCATGCTACTTCCCATTTTCAAAAGAATTTTGCCCTTCAATATTGAGACATTTTTTTCCCTCTGCAGTCGGTTACAAATACACAATGGCTTTTGTGTACATTCATTTGAAAATTTCTATTCAGTTATTACTATT